AAATAAATAAATAAATAAATAAATAAATAAACTTATTAACTAGCTAGGTAATAACGCTAAGTAGGAGGCTTAGAGTTTGGAGCTTAGAGTAGAACTAGTTTTGGTATTTTACGCTACCGCCAGCTGCCCCAAGATACCCAAAAGGCAACAATAGATTAGGCCTTGGCCTTGGCTGCAGAATAGGTAGACAACGTTAATCGCAAGAGCCGAGCAGCTCATAGGGTTCTAAGTTTTACTACCGCTCGATGCTAGTCTGTTGGCCACATTCTTCTTAATGCGGACGAGGCAGACCTACTCCGAGGTATTCCGGTCGTGAATGTTCGAGATCTCGGCTTCTTTTTTAAACCGGACCCTACTACCCGCCTACTGAAACTTTGTCCTCTTGGTGCTGGGTATACCAACACTAGAGCTGCTGGCGTATCATTGCCACTAGCTGACCACCTATTGAACGAGTTCATGCCGAAGGAAGACGAGCAGAAGCTGAGATTGCTACTTCCTAATACTTTGCCATGGCTAGCAGATCGACCGTTCGTAGATAAGAAGCTGTATTGGTTCTCGGATACCGGAGACTTGTGATAAGCTGAGCTCCTATAGTGTTAGTATAAGAGGAATTCCCAAGGGACAAACCTTGTGCTAGGTTTATGTTGGCGGATAGGCTAGGCTAGACCGGCAGGTAATTAACAAGGATAAAGGGGGTTTATTTACATAACTAGTAGATAATACTTTATAGGTATAATTAAGCGTTATTTTATATTTATAATTAGCTATCTAAACTATTTTAAATAAGCGTAAAGAAGTTGTATATATAATATAATATTTACTTATGTTTACTTTTATAAAAGTGAATATTTTCCTAATTGGGTAACCGTTTACTAGTGTTTATTTTTCGTAAAGTAAATATAATTTTAATTAGTTTATGTAGACTGTTATTTATCTATAGTGCCTACCCTGTAGGTCTGCTAGTTATAACTATAAGTTATTAGGTTATAATATAATACTCCCCCTCCGTTGGTTTTATCCTTAAGGCCTAGTTTATATCTTATATAAGTACTATAGCCCCTTTATTTATTAGGTAAGTATTTTTCTTTTTTAATTATTATTATACCTAATTATATTAAAAAGCTAAAGGTACTGTTAAAGTTACGTTTTATAGATTACTGAAATTCCTAATTAAATTTTATTTATTTTTTTAGGTTTAAAGTAGTACTTTATATATAGTACTTAGATAAAAGGATTTATTATATAGTAATTAAGGGTATTATTAACTATATTTATTACTGCAGCTTAGGTTATTTTTATAATAGTTCTTACGCTTTAATATTAAACTGTAAATTATTATATTTCCTTTATTTTATTTTACTAACTTTTATAGTAAATTATATTACTAAGGAGCTTTATTATTTTAAATAGTAGAAGGAATTTACGGAGGAGGTTTTTATAAAATATTATTATTAATAGGTGGAGTAATAGAAGTTAGTAAACGAGGTATTAGCTTATTTAATGTATTTTCAGAAGCGTTATTATATACTTTATAATTAAGGTGTAAAAATAGTAAATTATAAGTTAAATACTAAGGAGATAGAAGAGGCGGATTATTAAGAAAAGGAGGAAAGGTAGGTTAAGCTAGCTTATGTATAGCGTAAAGAGGCGTAGCTTTTTTATAAGGTGTAATTTATAAGCAGGGTTAAGTAGCTTTTCTTAGATACTAATTTAGTATTCTTAGGTTTAGATCCTTTTACTTTATTAAAGGGTGCTCCTTTATTATTTTCTTAGGTTTTATAGGTTGTTTTAGTTTTTTTTATATTTATTTTTATTTTACTTATAGTTATTTATAGAGTTTATTTTAGAAGGTTTTTAAGGTAGTGCTAGTATATTTAAAATTACTTTCCGGTTTTTAGCTATTTATGTCTTTATTATATTTTTTTTATTTTACTAAGTATTAGAGTTTATTAGTTACTTTGCCTATTTTTAGTAATATTATTTTATTAACTTTATATTTAAGTTTTTTACCTTTAATAATAATTTTATTTTTAATAAGTTCTTTTGTGTTTTTATTTATTAGTGTTTTTTTTAATAGTAAGATATAAAAAATCAGGTGTACTGGTTTTCCTTGTTTACTTAGTTGCTTTAGGAGGTTTAGTTTATAGTTAACTTTACTGATTTTCTTTAAAATTTTATAAGGTCTGACTTTTTTATAGTTTAGTTTATTACTTAGCCTATTTATTTTAATATTAGCTTATTTTTCTCCTTAAGTATATTAAAGTAAATAAATTATATCTTCCTCCTAAAGGGTTAGTTCTTTAAGCCTTTTTTTATTTATATACTTCCTTATGTATTCTTATATAAGTTTAAGTTATACGCGTAGTTCTTAATATAGTTTTTTAAGCTTATTTACCTTAAGTATAGCTTTTTATATATTTTTTCCCTTTTGCAGTATTTAGTATACTTATAGGTAATATTTTTTATTAGCGTAAAATAGTAAGAGCTTTATTAATTCTAAAATTAAATTATTATAGGAGAATTCTGTATTAGGTAAGTGTTTAACTTAGTTATTTTAATTAAAGTTAATATAGCTTTATAAGTATACTTTAATAATTTAGTTAGCGTATTCTATTTATTTATTTATTTAAGGGTAGTAAGTAGTATTAGCTTTATAATTTATACTTATTTTTACTATAGTACTTTACTAATACTTAAATATAAACGTTAATCCTCTGTTAGAAATAATTTCCGTAGGTAATTTATATTTTAAGGTTATATACTTTTATATTATATAACCTAATTCTTCTACTGTACTTTTTTCTTTATATAGAATAAAGATACTTTGTTTTATTAATTTATTAATAATAATAAAGATGCTGTTATATACTATATTTATTATAAGCTTCTTTAATAGTAGTAGTTTAATAATATAATTAAATAAGATAGAGTTTTATAAGTGCTTTAGAATAGGTAATAGTTATAGTTTACTATAAGGTTTTTGTTGACTAGACTTTGTTTTTGTGTATAAGATATATAATTAAATGATTTCTTTAATGATTTTTTTTATATTTATAAAGGTATAGTACTATTATACTTATTATAGTGTTTTAGTAACTCCTTTATATTTATATAGCGGATGCTTGTAGACTATTTTTATTACTTTTTTCTATAGTAATTCTAATACTTAGATTTTTTTATTTTAATATAGGACTTCTTTTGTAAGGGTTATATCTTTAGGGAATTAGTCTGGTATTTAGTTACTAACTTTATTTTTAATTTTATTAAGGATAGGGTTTTTATTTTTAATTATAAAGAGGGTGTTAATAGTTATTAATTTATAGTGCCCTTTTGCTATTTTTTAAAATATTAGTAAGGTAAGTTTTAGTATTAGTTTAAAGTAGTCTTTTCTACGGCTAAAAGTATCTGCTTAATTATTTTTTAATTTTTTATAAAGTATAATTTTAAAGTTATATTTAGCTATAAGCTAAAGATACTTTTTTTATTATATAAAGATATTTATTTTTTTTATAGTAAGATTTATAAGATTTTTATAATTAGAATATATAGTAATTTTATATTTATTACCTAATAGATATAATCTTTATTTTTTAAATACTTTAAAGATAGCTATAAGTTCTTAGTTATATATAAAGTATTATAATTCTAGACTGTGGAGTTTTTTAAAGAAGAAGGCTATTAGGTATAGTATTCTTTTATTATTTTATTAGCTAAGAACTCCTCTGATTGTATAGTTTAAGGCGTTTGTTTTAATAGTAACGGGCCTCTTAGGGTTATATATTTATAGTACTAGTGCATTAGTAATAGCTTTTTTAAGGGCTTTAAAGGCTTTAAAAGCTTTTTCTATATATTTAATAAGTTAGTTTTCTTAACTTTGTTATTAGGATTTTTTTTAGTAAGATCTGTAAGTAGTATTATAATCTTACTGTAGTTTTTAATAAACCTTTAGTAGTAATTTACTAGATTAAGGAAGCTTTATACTTTTTTTATAGTTTTAGGGACCTTTTATTTCTTAATAGCTGCTATTTTAGTAGGGTTTATTTTAATTCGTCCTAGTGAGATAATATATTTTAAAAAGTTAACTTTTTAAATATAGAACTGGTATTTTTTTGGTTTTACTAGTAAGTTTACTGCTTATAGTGTTTCTAAGACTTAATGTATATATTATTTATGCTTTTTTAAGGTATTAGAGTAGATTAATATATTATTTAAGTATATAATAATAAACCTATTAATGTATTCCTTAAGGACTTTATTAATTATTTTTTAAAATGTAGCTGGTGTGTTAGTAAGTCTAAAGGGTATAATTAAATATTTAAATAATTTATAGTATATTTTAAATACTATTTTTTATTTATTTTTTTCTTTAATTTAGATAAGGTTATAGGCTTTTTTTAAGTTAAGGGCCGTAAACTATTTTATAGTTGCTAGCTTATTTTTAATCTTAGAGATTAGTAGTAGTAGTATTTGATTTTTAATAGTGATTTTGTTAAGTTGTTGGTAGTTGATGATTAATTATAACTTCCTGTTTTTCTTTAGTATGAATATTATAGGGTATTTTACTAATAAGTTAGAAACTTAAATGTATTTTTTTTTTAATTGCTTATTTAATTATTCCCTTAGAGTCTTAAGCTTTTTTTCGTTAAGGTTATAAATTTTATACGTCTTAGGTTATTTTCTATTTACTAACTTAATATAGTAATCCTACTGTAAGTATAGTAGTAACCTAGTGTTTAATATTGCCTTATATAGTTTTTGGAACTTCCTATACTGGCGAGGTATTTTGGTAAGAGTATTGTTAAGTTTTCTTAGTTTTTCTTTTTTTTATACTTTACTTAGTGTATTATTAAGTACTACTAGCTTATCTTTAAATTATGTTATAATTTTATTAATGTAGATGTATTTTACTTTTTTACGTTATTTATTATATTATAGTAGTACTAGTGATTTATTTTTTTTAAACCTAACTGTTTTTGTTTTTATAGTTAGTGTAAAGGATTCTGGTTTTTTTAGTAGTATAGCTTTACCTTTTTATTCTTTTTAGTATAGTTAATATTTAGGTATATTTTTAATGTTTTAATAAACTTTCTTAGTTTTCTATTAGATAATAGGGTTATTATTAAGTAACTAAGGATAGTTTAAAAGAATATTATTTTTTAGTATATTTAGAATACTAAATTAGATATTATAGGTGTTTCCGTTAATAGTTATGGGGAGATAATTAGTTTTATATTTAATAAGTCCTTCTTTTACTTTTGCTTCCGTAATACTTATAATTTATAGCGCTTATTCTTTTTTTTAAACGGGGATTTACAGTTCCTTAATTAATTATAGTAAGATTAAGTTATAGTTTACTCTGCTGTTAATATATGTAGTAATAGTACTGTTATTAAGTTGTATGTTAATTTTAAGTTTTTTTATTTTAGTTATTTTAATTGTATTAATTTATATATTCTTTTTTTAGTTAGGATTATAGTTGTCTTTAGTAATAATATTAAAATCCTTGCTTATTTATTATTATTTTTGTTATTATTAAAGTTTTTAGCATTATTAGTATTTATTAGTATTAATTTTATTAATGTGGTATTTATGGAAGTATTTAATATCCTTTTTATAAGTATTGCCTTTATTATAGGTTTTAAAGTTAAATCTGTTATAGTATAACTAGTGTTAGAATTAGGTATACTTTTTTTTTTTTTTATAATGCTTTTTATAATATTTATCCTTATATTATAGTAGGTTAGTTTTAGAATAGGCTTCCCTTTGTATATACTACTCTTTAACTTTATAGTTAAAGTACTATTTATATCCTTAGTTAAGGTATTAATTTAAATTAATTTTTATATAAATTTTATTATATAGGTTTCTGTATTAGATCTAAAGGTATTAGTTGTAAATCTTTTATTCTTAGTATTCTTTATATAGTATTTTATAGTATTATTTTACTATTAGATACCTATAGTCTTCTATAAATAGGGTATTATATATAAGCTATATTTCTTCCTATTTAAGAAACTAATCTTTAGTTATAATAGGGTAGTAGGGGTTTATATTAGCGCGTTCCGCTAATTTATTATTACTTAGCGCTTATTACTAAGTAATTCCGTATTATTAAAGTATCTATTAGAATTCGCTTAAGTTATATATTTCTATCCTTTCTAATCTATAGTTAAAGGGCTCTTATCTATAGGGGTAACTTAGTCCCTGGGGTTTTTATAATTTATAATTTATATATAATTTTAAAATATTAAGGTTAGTATATTTTTAATTCTTTTTATACTTTTCTTCTTATTTATAAATAAAGGTATTTTCTTATTTCTTCTTTTCTTTTATAAGTAGAATATTAAGGGCTTTAAATTATACTTTATTAGCTTTATATTCTTCCTAAGTTATAAGGGCAGGCTAGTTGCTGTTAACCTTATCTTTAGCTTCTTTAAAAGTTATAGTATTAACTATAATTTATTTTAGCTACTTTCTCTTAGGTACCTTAGGGTACTACTTTATTATTTCCTTTTCTTCCTTATATATAAGATATTAATTATTATAGTAGCTGGTTTAACTAAGTAAGTTATAAAATATAATTTTAATAATATTAATTTAAACTTTATTAAACTTCTTATTCTTATAGGTAGATTTTTTAGAATTATTAGGTTTCTTATATTTACTTTAGTAGTCTTTTTTTTTATAGCTTATTTTACTATAGTAGTTATATTTACCTATAAACTTATAGGTATTAATAGTATTTAGATCTATTAATCTTAGTTTCCTATTATTTAATAAGGCTAAGTTGCGTTTTTTACTTTAATTAGTATAATATTAGAGGTAGTAGTATACTTTATTATTTCCTCCTTTTTTAACTTGCTTTTTTTTCCGTTATTTAAATTATTAGTTATTAATATAACTAGCCTTTTTAAAAAATGTTTTAAATATAGCCGGAAGATTATCTTATACTAGTTTATTTTTTACTTTTAATTTTAGTCCTTAGTAATATAATATTTTTTTAGCTATATTTTTAAAGTTTATTTTAGTATAAATTTAAATAAATTTAGTAGTATATTTAGTATATGTATTTTATTATTAGAGTTTTAGTAGTATATTTTCTACTTTTTTCTTTTTATTAATTTAGCTAAATAATACCTTAAGTTAGTTTTTAAATTCTTTATATTTATTAAAAAGTGCATTAGTAGTAGCCTTTTTTTTAGCTTAGTTATATTACTTAAAGTCTTAAAGGTATAGTTTAAACTAATTCTTAGGTCCTTTAATAAGTTAGCTTCCTATAATACTGATTTATTATTCCAGCGGGGCTATAGTAGTTGAAAAGTACTTAAAATAGGACCTTATATTTATAAGTAATCCCTTGATTTTTTATAAGTCCTTATTAAATAGTATTAGTAAAGGTGGCTTAATAATTTTACCTAGTTTTTTTTTACGGGGGCCTCCCTACTGGCCTTAAGCTGCAGGTAGTTGCCTTTATTATTACTATTAAGCGTTAAGTTATTTATTAAGTATATTAATAATATTTTATTAGTTTTTAATAGTTTATTTTATATAAGTAACTAAGGCTTTAAGGTTTAGGAAGCGCTATTATACTTTAGTATTATTAGCTAGTAGTAGTTAAGGGGTTGTAATTCCTTTTATATTAGGATTTATTATTTTAGTAATTTTTTTAAATAAATCTAAAATTTTAATATTACTTCCGTATATACTTTAGACTTTACTTTTTTAATTTATTCTTACGTTTAGTACGTAGAATTTAATTATTTAGTATTTTTATAATAATATTACCTATAGTCTAAGGTAACCTCTAAATAAGAGTTATAAACGTATAATAAGCTAAGCTCCTATAGTATTAGTATAAGAGGAAT